CATAAGTTACAACACAATCAACTTTGAGACTGCGATCATAAGCAAACGATAGCTGTAAGGAGCAATAAAGGGGAAAAAAGGGAATAAAGCACTAATAACAAACATTAATTGTGTCAATAATCTTGTGAGAAAAGCAATGGTTATGTTCTTACCATGGAAGAGGTGGTGGGTTGAAGATGTGGTCCTCTGAACATTTCCTTGTATTCTTTTGTCCAACCAGTGAGACATGGTGCCTTGTTGGCAGGCCTCATACCACCACCCTTCAAACAAATCGTAGTCGACAATCGAGGCCCGACAAGTAAATCTATCATGCTGGAGAAACGGTCAGAAGAGAATGGAATGAAATAAATGTAGGAAAAAAAATAAATCATCAGCTTCATTTAAGGCTACCATGTTTTAATTTGCTACACTATAAAATCCTAAAAGAAAAGGAGATATGAAAAACCTTATGATCATAAGGGTTCATGCAGAGAATCTCTCTAATTGTCTTTCGATTGTTAATTTTTTGTTCTTCAAGTGTCATGAAAGCTCGTGAGGAAGATGGCAGATGATGTACCTCAACGGGCAGCTGTCCAGAACTGTTGCAATGAAAATGCATTTTGTGTTCCATCTTAACAGTAAGAAATGGCGAAGACAATGGCATTGAAAGATGAAAAAGCTTGAAGGTTAACGAACTGATGTTTTTATGCCGAGAGTTCAGGTATTTCTGGATTGAAAAACTAAAGATCTGCAGCTGTGGCAGTGAGATTAGGTTTTCCTAGATGAAAGCAAGAAAGTTCGGAGGTCAGCAAACAATTCGTGGCATGCAAATTCAGCAAGGTAGAATGCCAGGGCCTAAAGAATCAATTCATCTGACAATAATGAGAAAGTTAAATAAATATTTACATCTCTGTTGTCTTGTTTTTCCTTTTGCAAATAGATAATCAAATTGGACATGAGCCAGGAAGGAAATAACTAACAAAATAAGAAAAAACAAGGTGAGGTTAAAAAAAATTAAATAAATAAAGCTTCATCAAGAGCATGTTCACTACTACAAAATTAACAAATATAACTAGAAATATAAATATTTATAGAATTTTTTTGTTGGTATATTTTGGTGAGATTTACTTATCAAAATTTTCCTTGCTAAATTTGTCGATAAACATCAATTGAAATATTCTTAAAGTATTAAAGTATGTGTTGAGAGAATCACAGTGAAAAAAAAAAATCAAACACAGAATATTTTTCAGCATCTATAATTTACATAAACTTTAAATTAAGAATATCAAAAATTAAATATAGAAACTCATTAATACTCAACCATATAAACAAAATTTTTTTTTTTATTAATCTTCTTGATTTTCTGATATAATGGTCATCATATTAAACTTAAATAACCTATTACATGAATATCGCTCAATCATATAAATCTCGCTTTTGATAAGTACCATCTTTTTAGAGTCAAAAACCATCCTAAGCCTGGTTTTGCTCGCTAATGAGCCAAAAATCCAATTCTTTCAAATATCAAAGGCATTAACCATATTTTTTAGAGTTAGTTCTTTTGCATTATATCATCCTTAACACTATCTTTTCGTGATCCAAGATTATTTTTTTTAATTTATATGGATATAAAATATTATAAAAATAACAATTATATATATAAAAACTACAACCTAATTGCAGTGAAAAGAGCCAAGCTCTTTCCACACTAAAATAAGACCCTCGGTGCGAGGATTTTGCACATTGAAGAGCTCGTCTATGAATAACTATTCTCCATCAACACAGCTGCCACATGCTCAAGAAACTATTCATGTCAGAACATGCATGAAATATAGCATTTTTTTATTTTTCATATGAATAACACATATGAACATATCTCGATCAACAGAATTGTACTTCAACCTTTCCTTTTATTTTTCAACAGAATGCATTTTTTCTTAATAAGTTCAAATGAGGTGTGTCGCTAC